GTGTTTTGGGGGCCATGGACAGCCAAGGTGGAGTTTTTGGGTTGGCAGTGTCATGCCGGGGTGGTGCTGGGTCCTGGTGGGCCCTCACATCCCCACAGTCACCATGTTGCCCTGGCAGGACCTGAGCAATTTCTACGCGCAGTACAAATCCATTGAGCCCTACCTGAAGAAGAAGGGCGGCGCAAAGGAGGGCCAGCAGCAGTACCTGCAGTCCATCGAGGAGCGCCAGAAACTGGTCACTGCCACCTGCTGACCCCTGCGGGCCGGCCCTGCAAGGGTTAAACCCCAACCCCTGGCACCTCCCCTTCCCCAAATCCACTGTGATCCCGATCCTGATCCCCATCTTGATCCCGGTGTGGGCGGGACATGGCCCCATGACTGGGGCTGGGCTGGCCAGGGGGGCTCCAATCCCATTCCCGCTGTCTGTCCCACCCCATTCCCTGTGTGGGGAGGACATGGCCCCATGGCTGAGGTGGCTCTGATCCCATTCTCACTGTCTGTCCCACTCCATTGCCTGCTGGAGGAGGACACAGCTGTGTCCCGTCCCCAGTGTCCCAGCCCCAGGGTGACAATCTCACCTGTCCCCTGCCCAATGTCCTAGTCCCAGGGTGACAGTCTCACCTGTCCCCTGCCCAATGTCCCAGTCCCAGGGTGGCAGTCTCACCTGTCCCCTCCCCAGTGTCCCAGTCCCAGGGTGACAATCTCACCTGTCCCCTCCCCAGTGTCCTAGTCCCAGGGTGACAATCTCACCTGTCCCCTGCCCAGTGTCCCAGCCCGAGGGTGACAATCTCATCTGTCCCCTGCCCAGTGTCCCAGTCCCAGGGTGACAGTCTGTCCCCTGCCCCCTTCCCTGCAGGACGGGCTGTACRAGTGCATGCTGTGCACCCTCTGCAGCACCAGCCCTGGGGTGACAGTCTGGGGTGTGTCCCCTCCTCAGGGGTGACTCCCCCGTGTCCCAGCCCTGGTGACAGTCCCGTCTGTCCCCTCTGTCCCCCCTGCAGGACGGGCTGTACGAGTGCATCCTGTGTGCCTGCTGCAGCACCAGCTGTCCCAGTTACTGGTGGAATGGGGACAAGTACCTGGGCCCCGCCGTGCTCATGCAGGTCAGCCCGGCCCTCTGTGTCCCCTCCCAGCATTCCGGATGTGGCCTGGGCCGTGTCCCCCCAGTGACATCGATGCCAGGAGGTGACAGTAGCGGTGTCCCTGTCCCCTCCCCTCCCCCAGGCGTACCGCTGGATGATCGACTCGCGCGATGACTTCACAGAGGAGCGGCTGGCGCAGCTGCAGGACCCCTTCTCRCTGTACCGCTGCCACACCATCATGAACTGCACCCGCACCTGCCCCAAGGTATGGCCCGACCCCAAAAACAGCATGGAATGGTCTGGGAGGGACAGGGCATGGGGCACTGCCACCCCTGCTACTGTCAGGGACACCCAGCACTGCCACCCATGGCTTGGGTCCCTCCCAACCTTACAAGGAAGCACAGTGTCAGCTCAATTCCAGGTTTTGGGGGAGAAAAAGGAGCAGCAGCAGCAGATTTGGGAGTTCACTACAGCTTTAGTCCATCCTGTAAGGATGGGAGGGCACCAGCAGCTCAATTCCAGCTTT